GGAGCCTCGGAAGAGGATAAGTGGGTGAATGTATAGGAAATGTCTCTTACTATCTAAATATATTTGAAAGATAATTAGCTCTGAAAACAGATGATAGCAATGTAGGGTGGGGCTTATGGAGTCAAGGTGAGTTCCAATACCTGGGAGAATTCTCAGTATTAAAAAAGATTGTGGCTCATTTCCCAGGGAAGAGAGTGTTTTAGTTAATCTAGGTTTATAACATAAGTAAAATGACTGCCAACAGTGGTGCAGAATTCAGAGGAAAAATCGTAAAGGATACTATGTTCCTATTCTTTCACTATATATAAAGTGGTACACTATTGAACAATGACTCTCATAACAGAGATACAAACATTCCTAATATGATTTTAGAAAATCAAAAGGATCATGCATCACAGTGCAGAAGTAGCCATTGCAGAAATGCAAGGTTGATTGAAGATTCAAAAATCTATGCAATTTATTGTATTAACAAACTAAAATAGAAAAATATTTCTATAATCTCAGTAGAGAAAAACTATTTAATAAAATTCAATATCCATTCCGAGGAAGTATTTTCGCCAAAGTAGGAATGTTGTCAGTCTGACTCAGGGTATTTATAAAAAACATGTAACTAACATCACATATGTATTAGCTTGGTAGGGCTACCACCATAACGTACCAAAGATAGAATGGGTTAAATAGCAGAAGTTATTTTCTTGCCCTCCTGGAGGCTGGAGTCCGACTTCCAAAAGACTCTGTCCTTGCTCTTGGGTGGCTGTCCTCCCTGTGTCGGCACATGGTCTTGCTTCTATGCTGTGTATGTCCAAAATGGCCTTGGCCCATGAGGACAGCTTTCTGAGACATTTAGATTGATTTTAAGAATTGGGAGAATTGAACTTTATGGGAAAACCAACCCTTATATTAATAAATTTCTTTTACAAATTCAGAGAAAAAGGTTATTTCTGATTGAAAGACATGGCCCTGTATTCATGACAGAGTTGCCTCACAGATATGATTTCAACCTAGAAAGGTGAGAAAGAGAAATTCAAGATAAAATGTAGAGCGAGAACAAAGATAAGATTTGAGAGATGATGCAACATGTATAAGAACTAGAAATAAATGCAGTTGGAGTAGAAAGTTTGGTGCACAAAGGAAAGGTAAACTTAGCAGGAGATGGGATGAGGGACAGATAGGACTCGGGTTTCCTCTCTGAGTATTTCTGACCGCTGCTGTGCACTGTGCATTCCCCTGATGTTTCACTCTATACCATGTTCTAATACCTGCCATGTTTTATTGCATTATTCACGTGTCTGTTTTCAACCTTCAGCATTAGCTGGACTCCTGCTAGAAAGGATGTTCAACTCATTATGTATGTTCAGTGGCAAGGAGTGTCTTACTTTTAAAAAACAGGTAAAGGAGGCATCATCCATCATGATCAGAGTCAGCAGGTGGGGCTTGAGCTGGCCATGTAAAACTAATCACGTTTGAGATAATTCAGAGAGTAGAAGGACAACTCAAGAATAAGTTCATGGAAAGAAGAGCAATAGTGCCCATGGTGAGGGTTGGGGGAGCATGTGCGCTGAGGACTTCTGAGACGAACTGAGGTTGCTTTGGGAAATGATGCTTATGGTATTGTTTAGAAGCAAGCAGAGATGCATGTCGCTACTCTAGATGTCTTCCACTAATTGGCAGAGTAGAGCTGTAGTCAACCAAAAGACAGAGAATTTCATAACTCATTAAAAAAAGAGAATCCATAAAATACTCTTTGGGGAAAATGTTTATTTTTCTCTTTTCCTTGGTTAAGATGTATATATGGTATATCAATATGGAATTAAGAGTAATTATACATGCCATTGGCACCATATTCTGTCAGCATCATGAACCTGTCATGAGCCATAGATTAACAAGGATTGAGGAAAAGCAGAATTTCAGGACTCATACTATGTTTTGCTTTGTAGGCAGTGGCATGCTTTCCAGAAAGAATGCTGGTCTTACAAATCAGGACACCAGAATTTGAATCCTAATTTATCTTTAAAACTTCCTTAATGATCTTTAAACATGTTAATTATATGATCAGTCTCTTTTTTATAACTTATTACATTAGGGCAAAAATAATAAGGATTGTTACAGTATGAACAAGTGAGTTACACACACACACACACACACACACACACACACAGAGCTGTTTTCTGCCGTTGTGTCCCTGTGTCTCCTGGCACAGTGTTGTACAGGGTAGGTGCAGAGGCACTGCTGGAGGAATAAGTGTAGGAAGGCCTGGGTACCTTTCTTTTTCTCTGCCATGCTATTCAACTTATTGTTCTCAGAGGACCAGCTGTGAAACCAACCTGTTTCCTGTTCATCTCTAGGTGTTTGAGTAGAAAAATGCTAAGGCGACATCTGTTCTTAGGTTCTGTAGCCTTAAAGATGTGTGAGCTAAGCATGCTGGAAGATTGTGGCTTTTTAAAAACTTTCCTTTGTTATAATTTTAAGTTAAATTAACTTAGTTTGGGGTTCCAGGTCTTCTTAGCTTGCCTGTGACAGCTTTGGGGCTGCTCAGCCACCGCTGGCTGCTTGCTGACTCCTGAGGACAGGCAGAGTTCCCACTCCACAGAGCAGCGGCAGCAGCATTCCTGGTTCACAGAAGAGCTGCGGCTGGTCTTCCTCTGATTAGGAAAGGGAGAAGAGAATAGAATAAAATACAAAAAAATCATACCTTAAAAATGGAATTTTGATGTTAAAAATATATTCGGAAAGTCAATTCAGTTTAAACAAAAACCTGTACTGATTCGAGTATTTCAAAGAAAAAGAATCAAAAAGAATATGATTTAAATTAGCATGCCATTTATAAGTAGTGTCATAGCTTAAAACAACATATTCAACTACAATTTGCATTATACAATTATTTTACAAAGCAAAGTGTAGGTCAATTAGAACAAAACTACCAAAGTGCCATCAACACGATTCATAACATTAGTACCTGAAATCAGCTCACATTTATAAGGACTGGAAATAAATGCTGCTCTGTAAAAAGAAAGTCTATAAATGTTAAAGTGACAGTTTTTTTGTCAGAATCATACAATTCTGTGCTTCTAAAGCCTTTAGGGCAGACTTTTGGTGCTTAGTACATAAAATGTTCAGTGAATGTGGAATTTAGAACAGCTAATTTATGACCTATTCTTATAATTTAGAAGCAAAACAGAAGCTAAAGTCTGGGAAAGTCTAAGCATGTTTTAAAAATAAGTTCTAATAATTTCAAAATTATTTTTTGAAGTGTTGTAGAAAGGTGATTTTCTTGTTATTTTTTCAGGGAACACATCCGTGCCAGATTGGGAATAATAAAACAAATTTCTAGTTTCTACTTAAAATGCTGGCACTAACCCTTTTTCATAGTATATATCATAAATGATCCAAACCCTGGTCTAAATAAATAGAAAGTTAAATCAAGAATGCTTCCTGTTAGAAAATTTCTAGAATCTTAGAGTAGAAAAATGACCTTGAGTGAACTCTTCCAACTTTCTGCTGCTACTGATGAGGGAATTAACCCAGAAAGGGCAAGGGACTGGTTCAGGTCATCACAGGGAGGGGTCACTCACACCCAAGGTGCTCCTTGACCGGGTGTTGCGTCGTATGCTGGACCATGTGCAGTTGCCTGAAGGCGCATGGGGAGACTCTCACTGTGGATCAGAGCTGGCAGGGTGCAGGCCTCCCCGTGAACCTGACCAGCTTCCCAGAGGATGCTCCCAATGAACAGACATGGGCAGAAATCTCCACAACGGGGTAAAGACCACACCACTGAACCAAGAGGATTGTGGAGGGGCATAGTTCATTGGGAAAGTTTTAAAAAACACTTTGTCCCATTTCTGTGTCTAGTTTTTTATACAGTATTCACCTTCTCACTGAAATTCAAACAGTAGCAAAGGCATTTCTGTTTTCTTTGAAAAGGGGGAAGGACTTTGAGATGTAAAGTAGTTTTCTCCTTGCGTGCCAATATTTCTGTCTTTTTGGAACCAACCGTTTACATTTTTAACAGTGACCATCGCTATATTTGAGGAATAGTTGTAGCCTTAAAACATAAAGTAGCAAACTTAATCCTTTTCCTTAAGAGAGTTTATTGATTGAGATGTTACAGTACTGTTTTATTGCTCCAAATTTTCCTTTGCCACCTCCACATTTCATGACAGAATTTGACATAATAGTCATGTATTAGAGAAAATAAACTGGTAGGTAGAAATCACAAGGAGTGTTGGACTTCATTTGTTCCTTTATTCAACAAGTATTTATTGAGCACCTAGCAGGTGCTTGAGGTGCCCCTGTCAGTAAAACCGACAAAATCCTGCCTTTTACGGATTGCATTCTACTGGGCAAGACTAGCAGTAACCACAAATCCTAAGAGATATGGTGGCTACTGTTGTTACAGAGGAGAGTTGAGGGTGAAGAGAGAAGAATGCGGAGTGCAGGTCTCGGAGACCTTGTTGTGAAGGTGACTTCTGAACAAAGCCTGGTGTGGTTGAAATAAAAATCCAAAGATGAAGGCAACCACGGGACTTGACGTTGCAAACTGATTTGAAGTCTTTTGTTATGTGTGTTACTTCCTGGCCAGAGACTGCGGTGAGCGATGGGGAAGCCTGGAGCCTGCTTCTCTTCCTTGTCTCTCACTAGCTTCCACTCACTTGGGGAATGGTGCTTCTACTCTGTCTCTTCTTTGCTCCTTAGCTAAAAGTGAACATTTTCCATGGGATTTTTTTCTATGATAAGAGTGAGATACGCTTTGGTAATTTTCTCCTGTGAGGCCAGAGGAAGATTCAGCACAATGTTATGTCATTCACTGTTCCTTAGAAATATGCAAGGCCATCTGTTGCCATTTCGAGGATGACTCTTGGTCCTGTGAGTCAGGCAGCAGATCACCTTACTTTCCCTCCGAATCATTCAATCATAGGTTCAGGGGAGAAAGCAGTTTGCTTTCTCAGCATTCTTCATTGATTTTAGCATGGCTTATAAACAGAGGTGTCTGTTTCTTCCAGATTGTGTTCCTGGTGTCTGCATACGCAAGTCCCCAGCTCTCTGAGGAGGGCTGCTCAGCCATCGCTGCTGTCACCCACTACCTGTACCTCTGCCAGTTCAGCTGGATGCTCGTCCAGGTTGGTACCTTGCTTGGCATTTGTTGTTCTTTATGCTAAAGTGGAAATAGTTCCTTGTAGCCCTCACTGCATTCCTGGCTAGAAATGTGAAGGAAGGAATCTATAAACTGTGCAGGGTGAGGGAGCATGGTGAGTCTGTAAAAACCGGAGAAATCTAGTAGGATTGCAGACAGGAGTACAGAAGATGAGAGGTGCAGTGTGGTCCCTATGAGGCACAGTAAGAAATTTGAATGTTTTCTTAAGGGAAATAATAGAATTAGTTTAAGCAAAGGAGTAATGTGATACAGATTTAGAGTTTTCAAAGATGTTCCTGTCTTGGTGAACTGGAGATGGGAAAGAGAGGATGGGGCTAGAAGTGGGGAATTAAATTGCATTCGATGTATTTGGAGGGGTGAATGTTAGTGTGAGCAAGGGAAGCTGCAGTAGAAACAAAGAGAAATAGAGAGCTTTGGACTTTTAAAAGTTAATGTAGGACTTTAAGACACAGAGATTGATTGTCAGGAATGCAGGAGGGGAAACTGGGGCCTTCTGGAGTTTGTGGCATGAACATCTATGGACAGTGGTGTGTAGAGGTCTAGTCTGGGATATGCCAAGGGTGAGAGACTCGTGAGGCCTTCCGTGGCATCTTTGGGAGAAAGGAGCCTGCCCTAGAGAAGTGTGTTAGAAAGCTGAGAGTCAGAAATTACTAGGAGCCCCTGAAATGTTGCTGGAAACCTCGGCAGTAGGCTCCAGTCTCCTGCCCAGTGTATGATGCAAGGCTGAGCTGAAGAAAAATCTAAGACAGAGGAACCGGGGAGCCAGGGCGGCCAATACTGCTTAATTAGGAAAGGCGCTGGTCTAAGTTACTCATTTGTATTAGGGATCAATTGGGGGAAGGTGAGCTATGTGTGAGGCTGGGACTATGTGTGAGGGTGTACAATTGGGCAGCTGCTGTGAAAACTAATGGAAGCAGGGATCCTCAAGGACAGGACAAAGCATTCTGGAATGAGGAACAGAAGAGACAAAATAAGGGGTTGTAATTAGAACATTGTCCTTCTAGTTAAGAAGGTTTTAGTTGTGGGAAGGAAATTTGGGTGGGAGTTACTCTGACCTCAGCACTCAGGCTTCGGCCAGACTCGCCTCTGTAAACAAGCCAATTGTGGGGTTAATTCTTCACGGCCTGCACTGCTTACAGCCTTTGGGCGTAATCAATATTGCGGTCCCCTGCAGGAAGTGTCACCATTGCTGTGAAAAGATCTCCTGGAGCAAAGAGTATGGCGTGAGACCAAAGGAATCCAAGCAAACTCTCCTGAGGGACTTGCTAAAGTTAGGGGGCAACCTGCACACGCATTTTCTGACTAGGGTCCCAAGTGCCCTCTATTATTCTGTGCTGATCTGCTTGAGAAAGAGGCCGAGTGATGGGACCATCACCAGTATTCATGTTGCTAATTAATGACTCAGCTAAGATCCTGCCTTTGAAAATGCTTTCCACATGATGGAATTGTTCAGTCATTTGGTGATTGCAAGTCTTATATGTGTTTCTCAGCGTGCATGCGAAATGTTTATGTACAGGTGTGTCCAACTCTTGCACGTTCTTCTTTGTTGTTGAATGAGTAAGATGCGGGTTTGATTTCACAGCAATATTGAAGCCGTGATAAAGGCAGAGAGAAAGTGGGGTGGTGGTATTATTATTATTTGAGAATATCATCCAGGCACAAGAATGGGACATTTTCCCACTTGGGATATTGTAATGATGGAAGAAGAGTGCTGAATTAATTATTTAGCTAACAGAGCTAATTAGAACAATAGGGGCCCAAGGCCTGGGTTTGAATCCTGGTTCTGCCACCATCTGTGTAAGCTTAATCAAAAGTATTAACTCTTTCCAGTGTTCATTTCTAAATCTGCACATGGGGATAACTCCTAACTCGCAGAATTAGTGTTTTATAGCTCTTTGACAACACTAATTATGGAAAATATGCAGTGCTCTCTAATACCCCCTCACACATTTTTTTCAAAATGAAATCTAAACCCTGCAACATAAAACTTAGCTATGTGCTGGAATTATGATACTTGGGCACTTCCTGAATTTTTCTAGTTGCAGAATGCTTCAGGAGTTGGTCTAAGCTGAACTTTTTAATATGTACCCACATAGGTTGTTCTCTGTCTGGACTGAGGTCCCTGTGCCAAAGGTCCTTGTCCCTGCCCCTGACCCCTTCTGTGTTTTTGATTAATGACTTGGATGAAAACCCAAGACACGGCCTGTCAGATTTGCAGATGCTACAGGGCTAAGGGCAGAAAGGCCAGTGAAGATGGGAAGCTCCTTGCATTCAGATTACAAGAGAAACCACCCTGCCAGATTGAGTACGGGGGCGGGAAAGACATTGTCAGATGAAACTCAATGTGAATAACTCCGAATTGTAATCTAACATAAACTCAGTATGGGGCGCACGTGTGCCCAGAACACACGCAGACCTCAGCGGCGTGGGTAACAGGACGGAGGCAGCCCTGCTCGTAGTGTAACCACAGTGGCGGGGCACATGGCCCAGCAGTGTCTCTGCAGAGACCTCAGCCAGGTGACAGTCCCACAGGATGCTCAGGCAACTGGCCACGCCCAGTCTGGAAAGAATTTAGAGGGATGGGAGGACACCTGCTGATCCCAAAGCACCTTGACAGAAAAGAAAGGCAGATGAGAGAGCTGTTTGGGAGGACCAGAACAAAAAGGTCAAAAGGGGAGGGAAGCAGATTTTGATTCCAGTTAAGAGCTCTTTTAGCCCAAGAACTGTCAACGTTGTAGAGACTCTTTCTAGAAGTAGAGTGAATCCAAGCACTGAACCATATGTAAACAGAGAAAAACGACCAACTTTCACATGTTTTGGATGCATTTCCTGCCTTGGGGAGCATTGAAGAAGATGCCATGTAAGATTTCACCCAACTTCATGTAGATTCAAGAGCCCTGCTGTCAGGGGCTGATGCACACTTAGTAAATTATTTAGGTTCTGTATGACTAATGGCTCAGGAAAACTATTTAAAGTGCCAGTGAAGTTTAATGTATTTCAGATGGTGCACCACACATTTTTCATGGTTTGTGGTATAACCACAAGGGGAAAATTCAATAACTTTTGAATTCTAGGAAGGTTACTTTTAATAGGTTATTTTGTGGTCAGAGATTGTCACTTTACCAACCTATATTTTCCCATTATAAAATTCTGTGTGCTAAAATCTTTTTTAAAAGCTGGAATCCATTTTTAAAATATTATGGAAATGGTTGGACTAGTATTAGTAGAATTGAGTTAAAGAAATTAAAAGAATATTAACACTTTAATGATTCTGTTTCATAGATTTTAGCAGTTTAGGAGCAAAGCTGAAACATGCATGGGTTACAATAGCAATGTAATTACTCCTTCATTTTTTAATCATTGGACTAAGTATATAAGAATTATTGGGGATTTTGTCTGTATCATCTCTTCAATCTTAGAATAAATCATTTAAATAACCTTATTTTAATACCCTTATAGTAAAGATGGATTGTATTTTAGAAGAGCTAAAGAAAAATGTTTTGTTAAACAAGTTCCATAACCTTCTGAGTCAGGGTTCTCTTATCTGACAGATCAGGGTAATAACAGGACCTGTCTTTGAAGATTGTGGGAAGATAATACAACAAGAAGCTGGCGTGCTATCTGGCATGTTTTATGTGTGTGTGTGTGTGTCTGTGTGTGTATTCTTACAACTTGTTAAGCTAATACGTGTGGCCAAAATATCAGATTTTCAAACTTGTTCAATAGTCTACTTTTGCAATGTAACTTACACCTTTATTACAAAAGAGAGCCAGTTGGACATAGTAGAAAAGGTATTAACTTTGAGTGAGGCAGATACTAACTAACTGCAAAGCCTTAGCAAACTGGATGATCTCTAACCCTTTACTGAAGGACTGCATGGCTCATAGCAGGCCCTGCAGCCGACAGCCTGGACCCAGTTCTTCAGGGTTCCCCTTCCTGAGACAGCAAAGTCATGCAGTGGACGGTGGGAATATCCTTCCAAAACACTTCACTTATCTTGTTTTCAAGCAAACAATTCACAAACTCCCTTTTTGGCCATGGGTATTAAGTTACCCTTCTGTTTGCTGTTCATGTTAAATCCCTCAGTGGGATGACTGAAATCATTTCCCACTTCCTTAAGAGAGCGAGGTCATGTTTACTTTAAGAAAGACTGACAATGAGAATTTAAAATCTAGTGACATCGATATTTTGCTAGTTGTTTGACTACCATTCCCTTTCTCTGTATTGCTTTAATTTTAGAGATAACATGTATTAATGGTACAAAAGATAAACACCAGAGAAATATAAAATGAAAAGAAAGTCTTTCTTGCTATTTCACATACACATTCTCCCTTTGCTGCCCTGTCTTCAACACCAGGCTCCAAGCTACATGTTTCAAATGGCCTCCTGTATATCCTTCCATAAATATTCCATGGATAGATAAATATTTATAAATACATAAACAAGTGCACATGTGTGTCCTTGTGTGTGTGTGTGTGTGTGTGTGTGTGTATATATATATATATAACATATATAAATTTGGACATCTTTAGGTTCATCATGTACAGCTCTGCTTTTTTCTGTGTTATTCTAAGGTAATACTGTGATTTATTTCTCTGGTTTCTGACTGGTGAAATTCTGATTACTCCCAGTTATTTTTTTGCTGTTGTAACCAATGTTTCCGTGAACACTCTTGCACGCTGAACATTTGTTTACTTAGAGAGCATACATTGAATAAATTCCTGGGAAGTATGCTTTTACTATTAATATTTACATGAAACATGCTCCTAATTGGATTGCCAAATCATGAGCCAATCAAGAAGGAAAACAAATTGCAAGTAAATTGTTTGAGACTTTCATACACAATAGAAGTAAGCAGAAACTTTACAGTTGTACTTGAGCATTATTTCTGTGTTGTGCCTTAACTTCTCCCCAAAGCCAGGGTATGAAGCAGCCTTCTATTTATTCCTCGGTAGAAGGGCTACC